AAATTTTGGTGCATCAAGGATCTGTCGTGGCGGTTGAAGAGACGTCCGTTGAAGTGGGGGGATTAGAAGCAAAGGACAGGAAACAACGGGGCCATTCTACTTCACTGAGGTTACATCAGAGCTTTTGGGTTTTAGTGGTGACAGGATCGTTGTTACAGCCAGATGAGGTCGTGATAGAGGGAAGTAGGCGGAAGCTATCGCAAACATGAGGCATGGGCTACCTTGGATCACCGAGGATGTAATAAAATCTATCTGAACCTAGGCAAGATAACTTTAGTCTAATTCCAAAGGCTAATGAGGGATGACACAGGGACTGAGATAGTAAAATTCTGATGTAGACTGACCCATGGAGATAGGAGACACACAGACGCCTCTGATACGGTTTTTGTACAACCTCTACTTACAGGCTATTGAAGATATCTATGTGGAAGTAACTGCCTTCACACTGGAGGGCTGACAATGAAATACTTTGTTGATGCTACGACTTGGTATCTGGCAGTTCTATTAAGACTTGTCCGGGCCTTGTGCTCGTGGATTGGCCTTCTCGGCAAGCTCAGGCTTAAGCTCTTTGTGCTCTCTGGAGAGCGTACATGTTGTTCCACTTAATGCCTTCCTCTACACGGTGAGAGGTCTCAAGACGCTGTAGACGCCTTTTCGATTGTTGGATGACTTGAATTTTGATTTTTTGTGTCCGGAGCTTCAATGCACCCATTGATCACCATTTAGCCGGTCCTCATGCTCATATTGTGTAGAAGTAAACGCACACCAACCGGCATTTTAGCATCACTTTCAACGATAAGAAGGGTAAAGTTTAGAGTTGAGAAAATTTAACTGTCTCAGGAGTCCGTATTTCTCAAGAACAGTAAAGGCTAAAAAGCTGCCAAAACAATGACGGTCATGCAAACCACAATTCAACAGGAAATGTACCTCTATTGTCCACCACATGATCAACCATCCATGCCCATCCAATGCCGTCCGAAAGAGTTCACCATTCACCAAGTCGGTAAATTACACATCCACTTAAAGGAATACAAAAAAACTGAGGAATGGTTAAAGCTAAATTTGTGGGGAAAATATTCGCAATGTTCACAGTTTATCAGCAAACTCTATTTGCAGCAATAAAATCAAATGCACAAATTCACTTAAAACTTGGTAAAATGTTACGATTTGTATAAATACTTTTGAGAATCATCATGTTGAACTAACTTACCTGCAGCCACGAAAAATAAAAAGCAAAAAATTAGAGCAGTTTTCAGATTATCAATAAACATAGAGTGACAGTGAAGTGGAAGAATGTACATAAAATTGTATACAAAAGTTGAATCAAATGCTTTATGGGGGTTCCCCGTTATGCTTTGTTTATTTGGCGCCTAGTATGACTGACAGTTGCCGTGGCAGATATCTTAATTTCACAGACTAAGCCGAACTTCAGGTCACACCGTAGCTTAACGCCACGAGACTTCCTGCCAGGTGGAAAAAGGCATTGTGTTGAGCAGATGGTAACACATGGTTTACGTAACTGCCTGACGTTTGGCGGTCACTTCGGGATTTGTCTGGTACTTGTGCATGTGGACTCGCCTTCGGGCCATGATCAAACCAGTTTGTCCTGTCATCTTCAGAATGCACTTACTGGCTTCTTATACCGGCTAAGAAGTCTCGGGGTGGAGTCTAAGCTTGGTCCGAAGCTAACCCGCGCTCAGAAGGGCATAATAAATTCCAAAGTGACCACCAGGCATCAAGTGGTTGCATAAACACATCCTCTCTTTTTCTCAAAAACACGGATTCAATCATGCCCAAAGCTTTCCTATATTTCAAATTAGGAGTTTTTAGTTGTGCTCATGTCTCCGCATCCGAAAGTCGAACTGGGTGCTCATCCTGTTGTATTTTCCTGTCCAAAAGGTTTTATTTTTTGTGATCGTCAGGCACACATTATACTTTAGTAGCGACGCATTTTATAGCTGTTATCCAAATGTTGTATTTGGTGCGGAGTTAGTACAAATCTTAAACCTTGGATCATGTTAGGAGGCATAGCAAATGTATCTTTGATTTTCGGTTTTTGGTGCATCAAATTAATCTGCAATTTAGTAAGCGTGTAATATTTGTTTTACTTCTCCATTTAATTGCACAACGCCTTTGCAAAATAGTACCGAGGTCGCCTATATATTGTGGCTCGTGCGAACTTGTGCTGGCAATTTGGTTGCTGCTATCGTATGTTGTATGTGCTACTCGTTACTTTTACGTCGACGTTGAAATGTTGGATGAATGGTTTATTGTCTAGTCGCAATTAGCCTTTTTGGATTCATAATCACGCTCCCAAAACATCTCAATGTCTATTGCGCACACTTGTACTGCACGCCCTATAGACGGAAAATATGAATTTTGCGCTCGTTTGTTTGGCTTGCTTAAATAGTCTCCCGTCAATGCTGCGGTGTCGAAAACTTCCAAATCCATCTTAGATCGCGTTACTTCCACATTTGGTTTATTGGGCTTTGGTTCATAGTTGCTGCTTTTGTCCACAACAAGCTTAAAATACTTTGATTTGTGCATTGGTTTGTGCAAATGAAGACTCATTGTAGTTCTCTGCACAGATGGCATCGACATTCGCTTTCCTGACAGTTGTGGGTTCCGCTACACTGCTTTTCCGGCATTGGACTTTGGTGATCGTCATGTTGTCGCTCCTATCAACGGATAGTCTTAGATACTTTGTCGTCAACGCAGAACCAACTTTTGTACTGCATGGCCTCTCTGCTGATCCCGTCTCAGAATCAGTCCCTTCCGATTTAAGTGCAATTCCTCCGATCGCAGCTACGGTGTTGAAGAATATTTCTTTTGAACCAAATCCGCTAGTTACCGTGCCTCTAAAGAAAGTGCGTGTTTTCTCACCTATATTTTTCGCGCCAGTATATGATCTTGTAATCTTCTTTCGCCCTGTATGTTCATTTTAGCTCCCCAATATCGAAGAATCCAGAGCACTTTTGTCATTTTTCTCCAACAGAGATTCTGCATTTGAATACTTTGTTATGGAAGTCTCCAACCCACGCCCCTTGGCACGTCGGACCCTTGTAGAAAGTAAGTGTTTCTGTTCTTAGCATTACTTAGCTGGAAGGCCATCAGTCTTTATTTTACTGAATGTGCAGCTAAAATGTCGATACACAGAGGTATGTATTCGTTGTTGGCGTCAAGGTTGGGCTCTTGTTGTTTTTCGCTTGTTACTACTTATACTCTGATTTTGTTGGCGCTATGAATAGCGGGTTGAATTAGTATGGTCACATCGCGCGAACAGTATGTATTTTTCACATTTGTTTTGACTAAACCAGCGGTACATTTTTTTGAATGTTTGTTTTGTGGTTTGAGCATGTACACGTGCTACACCAGGAGTTGATTTAGCAGCAATGCATCCTATGCTATTGTATGTTATTATCGTTTGATTTGCATGCAAAAGTATGGGGCTTTACTCGTCATAGCCCCACTCTTTAATGACCCCATTTCCTCTTTTTACAGCAATAATTTATTCCTTCTTGGCGGTCACTGTTACCAACCTCTGTGCATTAACCGGTTTCATTTGCATTCCCATTCAACGCTCAAAGCATTTCCCAATGATGCTCAGTTTTATGATGTCTCTGGCAGTTGGGGCACTCTTTTCCACAGCTGTTCTCGTCCTCATTCCTGAAGTAAGTGGTTTCTTTCCGAGTGTCAGTCATATGCAAGTGATTGTGTTTAGCAGTGTGGTTAATGTATCAAAATAAGTGAGAAGTAGCAGCTTGGCCTAATTTCTTCACTTGCATTTTAGTCGCTGCGAATGATAGATATGCCATTGGAATTCGGCGGTCAGGGTCGTACATACCTCTACAAATTCACTTGTGTTCCGGTTGGCGCGCTCTTCTTTTTCATGGTAGAATATGTTCTCCTGATCCTGCCTCGACTTGTGAGGGTATGTATGTGCTTTCTTGGCTGCAGACCAACATTTTAGTGATCTGTTAATTGCTGATTGGTGTTAGCTAAGACCTGGTCATGCAGCTCAGGAATTTTGACATGCGTGTACACGTTATGTGAGTAGGATGTCTCCGCTTGTCCATTTATCGAGTTATTATTTTAGTTGGGAAGTAGACGTCATCTCTAGTGAGATACGTAGTAACTAGGTGGTGGTGTGATTGCATTAAAGTCATTCTTTAAATTGCAGCATAAAGCATCTCCGAACAATGGCAAATCGTTGGAAGCAGTGGAAATTGCGGACACGAAGATCTGGGACGATAACTCCAACGGTCTGAAGCAAGAATCTCCCAATGTACGGCCTTTTTGTTTCCAAATACTCATTTTTCCAAGTTAAACACGTAGTTTAATATGCTTTCTCCCACAGGCCGAGATCTCGGTGGAAATTGCAGAAACACTGGATGGCGGCGACTCAGGTTCTATTGACAGTGTATTCATGTCGCAAAAGTCAGTGGGCGTGCATCACCGACGTTGCTGCCTCCGCTTTAGTCCTGAACGATTTTCCAAAATCGCACCAGTTGCATGGATGATTCTTTTTGGTGATGGTTTTCATAACTTCATGGATGGTATGACCATCGGAGTGGGTTTCACGGAGAGTCCAACTATTGGTATAGCACTTACCCTTAGCATCGTCTTTGAAGAACTACCCAGTGAACTTGGTAGGGGGTTGTTTGTCAATTCGTTTTATTGCTTCTTCTTTAATTGGCATTACTAACAAGGGATGGTCTAACTGCAGGTGACTTTGCGATCCTGATCTCTTCTGGATTTTCCATCAAATCCGCTGTATGCGCCAACTTCGCGTCGGCTTGTACTACTTACCTTGGTGTGATCCTTGGCCTGGTTATTGGTGAGGTATCCTCCGGAGCACTCTACGTTTTCGCCATCACTGCTGGATTTTTCCTCTACATCAGTCTTGCTGATATGGTATGCCTGCACTTCCGTTTTTCGTGCCGTTCGTCATACCTTTTGTTTGATTTTGGTGATACCCATTAACACCCACGCGCATTGTCCTAAGAGGAGACTGTGATCTAACCCTCCGCATTGTATTACACCGAGTTTTTATGCAAGGATGTAGGGGTTAAGTTGCCCATGTTGCCTTTTGACTAGAGGAAGTGAGAGTGATTAGATCTGTTGTGCTACTACCACGTTAAACGCATATGGCCGTGTGTGTATGCATCCTATGGACAAATATCTTGTGACTTCGGTAGTGTTTACGTATTGCTACGTCATTCGTTCATCAATAAGCAACATCTTTTTCCAAATCTCTCTCATGCAGATGCCGAATCTTCGAGATGCTTTGGAGGAACTGGAGAATAAAAATAGGAGTTCTTTCCACCTCTTTCTCATCCAACTGATCGGTCTATTGGCAGGGTATGGATGTGTTGTGGGTATCACCCTAATCAGTGACCTGATAACATTATAACATCAAACAAAGTAGTGTGTATCCAATTTCCTCTATACCTCCCCCCTTTCACACTTGATAGCCCAATTCAGTCCTTCTTTTAATGATTCATTTGAAGAAATATATTTTACGCTTTGGAGTAATATTATGGTCAGTACTTTTTTTTGAGGGGGAAATGACTCTTGGCCGGGTTATGATAGTGGTGATTATGTCACACTGGCGAGTTCTCGACTTGCCTTGGCGTTTTAGGGAAGCTTGCCTGTGTTTGTGCGTCCATTGTCGCTACCAAATGTAGCGCATAGCTATTTATGACAGGCGCTAAGCCTGTGACACACGGCCATCTTGCCTAGACCGGCAGTTCAATACCCCGTTCCCTCTGACGACGGGTCCGCCAGAAATGTCACTCCACTACCTAAAGATGGACTGAGATCGAAGAACAGGATCATTCAAAAAGACTCTTGAAACTAGCATAGATGTATCGCATGGTTTGCATTGCGCATACGTCTTAAGGCCTTTATGGAGGTGGCATCAAGTCCTGATTATGCCGCCTATGATATTGTTTCCTACTGTGTCTATTTTTTGTCAGCCAAAGTAACTACGGAAGACGGTTCAACGGAGGATTAAGCTCCCTGCTTTGGGCACAAAAAGTGATGCGCTAAAGATCTGGATCTCAAAGACTCACGTGTCACCAAGTAAGTGCACACTTATAAGTTTAGGTTTAATGCTTTCTTGGTGGACTTCGGAGAGTACCAAAGACATTCGCACGAACACCTCATTTCGCTTCAAACAATGATGAGTGCATTTCAGATCGTTGTGCAATAGGTGTGCACCTCGAAGACAACGAACCATTCACCAAGACTACTGGTTGGCAAGCCAACCTCCAGTCATTTCTATCGTAGAAGCACAGAGAACTCCTTTAAAAGGCGATAAAGGTGTGAAGAATGAGAAAATGAGTCCTGTAGAAGGTTGCACAACGACCCACGATGTCTTGCTTGTTGTGTGAATGGCAATTAGTAAGGGGTAATTTGTTATTATTGTTTAAGGTCCTGAGGATCGATGGTTGAACTGCGGTGAAATATTGATGCATATATAAGGGAGTCTCATAGCGGAGAAGAGGGAATTGTCAGGAGTTACGCTTGAATAACTGCATGCGATTTCTTGGCTGCATGAAAATCCATGAAACCCGTGTCACCCAACAGAGGCAATTCGGAGAAGTAGCTGCTAACACTCTGCCTCCATCACTAGCTTTCGCGGGGACCTGCAACGAGTATCATCAATCTGTATAGAGAACGTCGTGATTGCTGACGGTATATTTCCGTGTAGGAGAGTAATAAACTCCCGTTGTTAAACAAACTAGTGGTAATACCTGCGTCAAAGACATCAAAGTTTTAAAAGTAGAGAGCTAGTGGTAAAGTTGGATTTTCTCACTTTCAAGGCATTGGTTTTGTATTAAGCTTAAGCCATTTTTTACGGCCCACTTCAACAAGTTTCCCAACTCTTCGATAACTCAGTGAATAACGCCTACTGTCACCGCTTACGAAAGATGAGCATTCCTTTCGCTGCAATCAAGAAGTAAGCTACAAGTATTGATACTACCATCGGATAAATGGAGATGCTTTTATTTTTTTGCATCAAAGCTGTGCTATTAGACATTTTAACTGACCTCAAGTTAAGACACTGCAAGGCAAAGCAGTCTTGTGAAGAACGACAGCAGTTGCATTTTATTTATTTAAAGTAAAATTTACCTTCTCCCAGCAATAATCTTAATGACCTTCAGGAGCATTGGTAACAAGTAAATATCGATTTTGCATAATGAGATCTATGGAGATTTTTTATTTAAGGTAGTTTTTGGGGGAACTTTAGAGTGAAAGCGATAAAATGCTACCACTACAACGCCTTGATGGGCAAACTAGGTTATATTTACTAGTTCAATGCCAATCTGTGTGACACAGTGATGACGCTGAAGGAGAGAAGCAGAGCAGAACTGGTATTAAGGAGGTGCTAAATGATCACCAAGTAAAATATTAAAATAGCATCCTGTCCGAGTGTTCATTGAACATGGTGCGTAGAACGGATGAGATAATTATTTTATAAACAAGACGGTTACAGGATGCCGTCAGACTGTATTGCGATGTCTTGATAAATCAGCTTGGTTAAGCAATAGGGTTGAGGAAATCGCTTTCGGATAGTTCAGACATGTGCTATCAAGGGAGTTGTTGCAAGATAAATATTTTTTTCTCGAGGCAAATAGTAATATTTCTTCCTTGATATAAAATGTAAATTCCCTTGAAAAGCTGTACTTTCTCCGATGCCTACTCTGCAGTTAGTACGTAAAATTACAAATTGGAGGTTGTTTATATGCACGAATTGATGTACATCAGTTCGGTGGTTCGATGGCCTTTACTGTTAGTATCAGTTCCTCTTATGCTGGGTTCGTGGTCTGTGCAACATCATTAAACTGGCCTATTTTCCTACAACATTTTTCTGCCACTATAACGCCAGAATAGTCGCTTGCTAGTTAGATTCACTATAAGGCGGCTGAAGTACGCTCCTGCTACTAAAATTAACTGATATAATACAAATGACTCTGATGGAATGGCATTCAACTGCGAACAATGCGCCACCCTTTACAATGTGCCTGTTGGCAATGCTGCAAACAAAGAGGTGGTCGTTGGATTGTTTTCCTAACCACCTTCCAAGTGATCGGATCGTATTGTAGTGAATGATTGACGCAACATTCCTCTTACACAACCGTGTGCCCGACTGATTACGTTGTTGAAGGCAAACTTTTCTCTATACTTCATTTCATTACTATGACACACCAATTTGCAATTACATCTTTCTTGAGGCCTCGATGATTGTTCACGCCACCATTGAAATTTTACAGGCCAAGTAATTACGGTTGGAATCCGTCTTTCCTCTTCAGTCCAAACGTAAGCAGGAAGAAAAGAGAGTTGCCTATTGGAGACTGGAGAGTCGTTACTAGGGGCAGTCGGCAATTGTTCAAAATGCTCTATTTTGATGAAAGGAAATGTGCCTTTCAAAAATGGGCTAATTTTATGAGATCTTGATGCCTTGTGGAAGGAGATCAGGTCGAATCTGCGAAATGCATCTGTGAATGACTTGGGATGTACATTCAATGTTCGGCTTCAATCATTACGTGTTGGTCATTCGAGAACTCGACACGAGAATCTTGTCACCGCTTCATCAGTCCATTTAGTGCTACTTTCTTCGCTTTTATGCAAAAGTTCCTCTGCGACACAATTGATGGCACGACTGCCATTGTCTCAAAATCGCGACACTTCAGCCGTGTATTCTCCTTAAAATTCAAACGCTCTGCGGCTTATTAAACGACATCTACATAATCTATCTCACAACACCTTTCTGGTAGATAAGGCGACCGAATTGTCTAAAAAAAGTTAAATTGCCTTGTTAGATGTAGCATTTTTACACGGCCTCAAATGACTATTGGTTGTACACCTTTAGAATGGAGGAGAGTCAGGACCAGGCTTACGCATGAAGCCACAACCTTCAAGCCTCCACACTGACTCGCACTACAACTAATTTCAATCGCACTGGAAGTGTGGGAAGGAGCTTTAATTAATTCAGCAATCTTAGTGCACAGTACCACCCACACCGAGGTGGTGCGATGTAGAAGTGGGAAATCCACGATAGTCGAAGAGTTTCGCGCCTTACTGCTACTAATCACCATTTAAAGAAACGACCAGTTGAAAGGTAATATTGGGGTGAGAATGCAAGAAAAATTAGGTATGTTGGCATTAACGTCACAGTCTCGGATGTGTGCAATTGGTGTTAGTCGATCAGATCGCAATTCTTTGTTTATTCAACTCCCGGCTTAGGCTACCGTCACTTACATGGTCCCGGTACCTATGCCGGCTGAATCGAGTGTTTCGTCTTCCCTTGTCTTCGAGCGGATGTTGATAAGCCGCACAATTTTTTCAGACTGGATTGGGTAAATCTGTTTGAAGGAATGTAAACAGGATTAGTGGTTGCGAGCCCAGTCAATGGTTTTGGGTTAGGCTTGTCGTCGTTGAATGGTTGCATGATTTGAAGATTGACGATTTGTTCACCAATGCCTTTATTGAAGGTAGTAAAAATGATTGAATGAGTGAGCAACTGAGAGGGTCGTGGCTACATCCTCTTGTATTCGAAAGTGCAGGGGATAACACTGGCTACTACTCGCTTTACTCGAATTCGATGCAAACTACTTATTTATACTACTCAATAAAAGTTCTTACTTTACGCCCTACCAACATTCGTATTTCCTTCAAATGCGTGCATCACAGGCTTAACCTTTTCCACTTTTCCTTATTCACCTTTAAATGGGCCAATGGGAAGGCAGAAAAGGAGAGGAAGGGTGAATCGTGGAGGGCGCCTTCTTTGCCGCGATTTCTATCTCTTCCCCCATCTCTCCTTAGTGCCGGTGTCAGTCGCCTAATTAACTTCCAACTAGCATGTTTAAAAGAGCGAACAGTTGGACGGGTGAACAGAGGGTGGGTGAAATGGTGAAATGGTTATGGAATATATGGAAGAATAAACGTCAAATAAACAGCATCACTTAAATGGTCGACTGCGAAGGTAGCGAGGCTGGTTTGCGCCTTTTTTGGTACACCAAAAATCTCACTGCATCTGCCAACCATCAACAAAATTTCCAATGCAACTAATCGCACACCAATGTGAGAAATGCCTCAACCACCTTTCTAAAGCCTTATCCAGGTGCACACACAAAAGGAAACGTTTTACCCTCGAGAATGTGTGGAAATCGCCATACATTCAATCAATCCCCTATGGTAACTTGATATTCACCACGTCGCACTGTATTTTTAACATTTTGAGGGCTTTTGAGTTCTGGTGTCGTTTCTACCATCGCTGGAGCGATCTTAATCTGCGTACAAGCGGACCGTTCATGCTGTCTTCCGTCTCTCCACGACCTGAACCGAGTTGCAATGCAAGAGAGACTAAAATGGGATTATTTCTTAAATAATAGTGCTTTGACTTCA